AAATACTTGGTCGTATTGACCAAAAAGATTTAATTAACATTGAAATAAAACTTTGAATGAATATTCATGAACAAAAGCATTTTGTATTTTTTCACTTCAGAATGCCAAGTAACGTCCGTCTACATGATCATTAACATTCGCCATCCTTCACAAGGTAACAGCAAGTGGGAAATGCAAAAAGGTAAGCTCATTAAAAAAAACGATAAGTAATAATGAATTTGCATTAGTGAACACGAAAGATCAATTAATATAAAACAATTCACCAGGATGACATACTGAGACAAAGTTACCAAAAAGGTTCATGATGTCAACTGTAAACTTGCGTAGAAAAAAAAAGTGTTTCCTTATCAATTAGCTACAGTAGTTTTATAGCTAGTTCAGTAAATGGTCTTAATGAGAACAAGTTTAAGCAACACTTTTTCTCAGATACTTAGATAAGTAAATCTTATTGTATTTATTCTATCTTTCCGCTTTTGCTCATTCTAGTGTCTTATTTTCAAATACTGTGAATTTTGATATGTACCTTCTGTTCAGTCCTTAATTTTCTAGAAAGTGGTTTGTTATTGGTGCTTGTCTTTCTCTTTCTGTCAATGGTTTTGCCTGTTTGTATTGGATTCATTTATTTTTGTATTGCCACCTCTGATTTTCTCTCTCTTTTTGCTTTTGTACTGCTTTGTTGACGTCGACTTTTTTCTATCTTTTTCCTATGATTTACAATTAGTAATGGATTCTCCAGAACACTTTTACTGATTGAAAATAATCTTCCAGATTTAATAATAGATAGACAGAAACGGTACACATCAAACATGTTGTCTTAGGTCAATTTATTTAGAGTAATAATTGTCATTGGACGTTGACAAATATTTGGAAGGGTTAGGTTCCACTTTCTACCAGTCCGTAAATAAGGAGAGCCACCATTTTGAATTCCGATTTTTATTTGGTATGTAATTTCTCAAAATTAAAAGTCCAGGCGATTTGCATTCAATTAAATGGTCATGTAAATTTATAAAACAGGCCACCCCTTTAAACCGGATACCGGCCGGTATTTTTGTATCTAATTAATCGAAATCAATGAAATTTAACCTCATAAAACCGGCCTTTTCATCTGAAATCACTGATCCGCACATATAATTGTTATGTAAACAAAGAAGATAATCCGGTCATTTAGGACACCTGCATGCTTACTGATTACTGTTTACTTGTCAATTTTGTTTTAGTATTCTATCTATTTATGGTTTGACACATTAAAATTATTTTAATGCTTTTCTATAGTTGTAATTAATTCAGAATCAGTAGAACATTTTTATAAATTATTAATGAAATATCATTAATGTATGGTATTTTTATTTTTTATTTCTGCAAATTAAAAAAATTAAATATAGTTATAGCTGTATTTTATGATCCATATAATATACAAAACTAAAATTCACAGAGGAAAACATATATTTTGATTAAGGTAAAATACATTTTTTTCACATATTCTCAAACACACGTATTAAAGGGAAGGAACTCTTGGTGATTTCAATTTTCAACAACCCGGCCACACCCGCAAACCGGCCGTTTTCCGTGGTCCGACGGGCGGCCGGTTTTGAGAAGTTTCACTGTACTAAAAAACGATGGTTTCTTTATAGAAAATTAATCTAGCCTATAAAATTGCCTGATAGACAGTTATTTTTCTTTGCATAATTTTTCTTTTTTTTCTTTTATTCAGAATAGTTATTTAACTTTCATACAGTTTATCAGACACATACACAATTCTTTATGTATATCTTGTTCTATTTCAATTAAGACAGGCGCTCAAAATCAATTTAGTATAAAAAAGAAGATGGGGTATGATTGCCAATAAGACAACTCTCAAAAAGAGACCAAATGACACAGAAAAGCTATAGGTCACCGTACGGCCTTCAACAATGAGCAAAGCACATACCGCATAGTCAGCTATTAAAGGCCCCGAAATCACAAATGTAAAACAATTCAAACGAAAAAACTAACGGATTAAAAACTCAACGAAAAACAAATATGTGTAACGTTTTTATATGATATGTCAGTGAGTTTTATTATTATTGTATAAGATTACTTATTCTCATTTACCCTTGTAAAGTCATTAATTACAATCTTTTTTTATCGCCTTTATTAAGAGTTTATTTGTTTAATGTCAAATTAATCATGTTAATCTGGTGCCCCGTTGCTCTGGTTATACAGGTGCTCCGGTTGACCACTGCTCCTGACTCCTAGTGCCCGGTTACTTGTTTCTTTGTTAGGAGTCGTTTAAACATATTTGTAATCGGGCTACTAGGGCAAATAGAGTGGTATAAAAGAGAAAACAGCTGTAGGGAGGAGTTACGATTTTGTTTACGATAAAGTACACGAAGAAGATTAAATATTATGCCACCGTATTGTTGAGCCTGCAGTTTAGATATTGTAAATTGTATTACTGTTACTTTGGATTTTGAATAAAACAGTATTGAACTTTTAATCGACTTTGTGTTTATGTTCACTTACAAGACTTTGTTCAGACAACACCAGGATCTATTTATTTATTTATTTATGTGACCAGGATTCCCTTAATCACGCTACCAGTAGATTTCTAGTGTAACCCTGTAAAAGTGTATCATTGGCATTTGTCGTTCGTGTACGAGTGAAAGGCACGACCTGAAACTTATACACCCAACAACACAGCACACACACGCACTTTAGTTTAGTTTTAGTTATATAATAACTTTTTGTCACATTGGTGGCAGCGGTGGGATCTCCTGTGTGTGACTTCAACGTACTTGTTAGTGATAATTTTATTTGTTTAATAATACAATGGAGACACCAAGAAGAACAATAAGGACATCAACTCAGGCTCCAATGCTCTCTCAGGTAAGGCAGAATTGCTTTAGAAATCAACACTTTCCCCAGCAGATTCTGGGTTAGGTAGTACGCTTGCCACTGGTACTCTCCATGGTGTTTGCACGGAGACTATGCCAGATGTCCAGTATCGCCGGAGAATCGGGCATAGTTCACCCAGGAACAATCAGGATAGAGCTGTCCAGGAGATGAGCAACACGCAAAGTGGTATAGGAAATAGTTGGAGGAAATCTTGGCTGATATGGATTAGTTTGCATACTGTCAGTACTGACCTTGTTGCAGCAGCATGGATCTATTTTCCAAATAACAGGGTAGTACAGAAGTCTCAGGAGTATGTAATGATTGGTTAGGTATGAAATTTGTATGCTTATTTTTACATAGACTTCAATTTTGTTCGAAAAAATTACTTTAAAGTTGTTTTGAAAATTTGGAGCTTGTGACCCTTATTTTTTTTGGCTTGGTGTCGCTCGGCCTAAATCTTGTTTTTATTTGGTCCTTTATTATTTACTCTTGGGTCCCTAAAATTTTCGTGTTCCAAGAATAGTTAGGTTATCACGATAAGATGAGTAATTTTTATAGTTTTGTTATTAAGAGATCAATATACCTAACATGTGGGGGGCTGTGTAACGTTTTTATATGTTACGTCAGTGGTTTTTATTATTATTGTATAAGATTACTTATTCTCATTTACCCTTGTAATTTCATTAATTACAATCTTTTTTGTCACCTTCATTAAGAGTTTATTTGTTTAATGTCAAATTAATCATGTTAATCTGGTGCCCCGTTGCTCTGGTTATACAGGTGCTCCGGTTGCTCATGGCTCCTAGTGCCCGGTTGATTGCTTCTTTAATAGAAGTCATTTAAACATATTTATAATCGGGCTACTAGGGCAAATTGAGTGGTATTAAAGAGAGAAACAGCTGTATGGAGGAGTTATGATTTTGTGTACGATAGAAGTGTACGTAGGAGATTTAATATTATGCCACCGTATTGTTGAGCCTGCAGTTTAGATGTTGTAAATTGTATTACTGTTACTTTTGGTTTTGAATACTACAGTATTGAACTTTTAATCGACTTTTGTGTTTATGTTCACTTACAAGACTTCGTTCAGACTACACCAGGATCCATTTATGTATTTATGTGACCAGGATTCCCTTAATCACGCTACCAGTAGATTTCTAGTGTAACCCTGTAAAAGTGTTCCATTAGCATTTGTCGTTCGTGTACGAGTGAAAGGCACGACCTGAAACTTATATACCCAACAACACAGCACAAACACACGGATACGCACTTTAGCATGTTTAGTTAAGTTAAGTTGTAACCAACTTTTCGTCACATATGTAACACAGCAATACACGACAACCACTGAATTACAGGCTCCTGACTTGGGACAGGCTCATACATACAGAATGTGGCGGGGTTAAACATGTAAGCGGGATCCACCCCCCTAACCTGGGACAGTGGTGTAACAGTACAACATTAGAAAAAACTATAAATATTAGTTGAAAAAGGCTTAACTAATCCGATGGATACAAATAGAAATACATCTAACAAAAACACAGAGTGGACGTGTCCGGGTACTTGTACATCCCAACAACAAAAAGACACTAAATACAGATCTGAGGGTACTCGCAGTTACTGACAGCTAGTTCAAAGCCAATAACAACTTATAGAAAAAATCAGTACACATCCAATGGATTTAGTGTAAAGACGTCATAAACAGTCAGAGAAAACATGACCTTGTGCAATGCCAAGATACAGGAATCGACAGATTGTAGATCCATGAAAGTGCATATGTATATACACATGTAACAATAATACTTATTTTGCTTTTAATTTACTGATAACAAAATCAATATTAATACCAATAAAAACAATATTCAAAGATCTAGTTACAGTGTTGAATTGGTAATCTTTTAGAATAAGTTTATTGAAAGGATCGATAAGTTTACCAGGATCTATTCTAAATTTCCGGACACGGTAAACAACATCTAATTATGTTTTACCTATTTCTATAGTTGATCAACTGAATTAGCCAATTGGCCAATTTCTTATAATATTTCAGAAATTTGAATTGATATGACAATAGATTTAATGTAAATATAATGTCTTACAATTAAATTTAAAAGACTATTATTTGTAATAACCTGCACATTCAGAAGGTTTACATGAGAGGAGGTCATAATCTTCTCCATGACAACTAGCGCCACCGTTGGCTGGTAAAGGATTGTCACAATTACGTCTCCTTCTTTGTTGTCCAGTTCCACATGTAACGGTACAAGCTCCCCAAGCATTCCAAGTGGACCATCCTCCATCAACTATTAAAAGGAATACAACATTTCAATTTTATGTAATATGCGCTTGATTTTAATAATTTTATTTGCTCACAATCGCAGTGTTACTTTATTATTAAATGTCTAATTAAATTTTTTATCATTTGAGAATATTATTTTTTTACCAATGGAGTAACACATAGTGTTAAGTATTCATGATTATAACTGTTCACGTTTAAAAGTAATACTCATATATTACATAGGAAATTATAGGAAAATATAGTCACCCGGACATGCAGTTCGTGTACAAGAGATGTAGTCATATTCTTCTCCTTGACAATGAGATCCGTTGTTTTCTGGTGCAGGATTGGTACAATATCGTGTCCTACTTTGCAGTCCAGTTCCACATGTAACAGGACAAGCTCCCACAGAAATCCATGACGTCCATCCTCCATCAACTTAGAATGAAATGTAAGTGAAATATTTCAATGAGCCAGTATGTATGTCATTTGAATACAATCGCAGTGATTCGGTGTTTAGATTATCAGTTTTAAATTTCTATAAGATTTGATATCAAACTATTTTATTTACTAATGAAATTACGCTTAATAGAGAAAAACACACAAGCGATCTTATCATCTACATTAATCATAATAATTACATAAGATGTATATACATTACATACGTCAGCTTTTAATTATTCTAAAATGTAACATATCCTATTGTTAATTAAGGAAATTGTTCCTTTACGTTTACAAAAATAATACATTAGCATATAATATCATAATCTGAAATAAATAAAGGAAAAATGGTTACCTGGACATGCAGAAAGTAAACAGGATATGTAATCATTATCTTCTCCTTGGCAATATTCACCACAATTTGCTCGTGGAGGATTGTTACAAAAACGAATCCTTTTTTGTAAAACATTTCCGCATGATCCTGTACAAGGTCCTGAATTTTCCCAGGATGACCAACCTCCATCAGCTAAATAAATATATAAAAATAAATTTCAAGTACTAAATGCTTATTTACATCAAAATTTAATGTTTTATTTTATCTTTACACAACGTTAGGTAACGGCTAAACAGGCTAACATTAATTTCTAAATCTTAAAATTACAGAAATGAATTTGACCAACCATGGTGTATGTTTTTAATTTAATTTTCCAATATTACTGTTGTAATGGATGTAAATTGGGTAGTCTCCCTTTATCTGTTTTCAAATCAGTATTTTCTTAATTAAATGTTAATGTTATGTTTAATATGATCTAGACTTGCTTAAATAAAAAGAAGCTTTGCTAATTATACTACAAAAAATTCAAATTTCAAGTCACTTTATATATCTAATGAATGTTGATTTTTTCCATATGTTTTCAATACCATATTTTTACATACATCTTTGGAAGTGATAAGTTTTTACTAACAACTTGATCCCTACGGTGCGAGACCCTCGTGTGTAGTCATGCTCATACGACCCACCCCCTCGTCGTTGATCAGGAGTTGCCCCGGTTGGGAGAAAAAGAGTAAACACGAGCCGGTAGTCTATCATTGCAGCCTTTGCTATCACAATTCAGATTCAGTCTAGAATAGACTACAGCTCGCAGGAATCCACTGATTCCACTCGATTTAATTTTCATCAACTATATTGATATTGTTTTGATATGTTAAACTAAGTTCTAAAACACAACGCGAAGTATAAACATACAATTGAATTTGCTTTTTAAACTTAGTTTTTGAAATTGTATTCTTATTTGACTTCATTTGACTTGCTTTACTTTTTCTTTTTGATTTTGTTTGCGAACTACTACTATTTAATAATATTAGTTTTTAACTCAACTTTTGAAGAAAAAAAAACTATTCTTTTTTGTTTCATTTGACTATCTTTACTTAACTGTTGTACATTTGTAAATAAAGTGTTAAGTTCTATTTAATGTATGCCTCTCTTCAGCCAAAATCTGATATCAGGTATCCACATGATCGAATAGGGACGAAATACTAGCCACTACACGTCCCGGGAGGTGCCGACACTGACCTCCCCCTGTTACACTGTATTGATCTATATTGTACTTAATTCATACAAAACAGAGTTAAATGTACAGGTAGCAAAGTCAAATAAATATTTTCTATTTTTATTTCTTATGTAGCAAGCCAGTGTTTCAGAGTTCCTCTTATTGCATCCCATAGATATAAACTTTGCAACCTGTAATATTCTATACGATTTATTCCGTTAGGAACATATACTGTAATATTTATTCCTGTGGAAATAATATTCCAGAATATTGTTTTTCATTTGAAACTTCTATTATAAAGGAACTTCTATTTCGTGACATCTCTCTATCTTTGTTTGGCGCCATTTATCAAAAAACATAAATGCGTGAATTATTGATACAAAATAAATGGTTAAAAAATTGTTATTATTTAGATGTTTCGATAACATACTGTTTTCTATATAATACTCTTTGTCGTATGACATACGTATGTAAAGTAGTAAAATTTACAGTTTGTAGGGCACATCGTCAGTTTAATGACAGAACGAATCAAGGGTGGATGTACAGCAAATTAAAGCTCGTAGGAGTTAGCAATTCTATAAACTGAAATTGTATATTCATCTTTTATGTACATTGCATTACATTTGTGGAGTTAAAATATACTGCAACGTTATTTGGTATCCCGATAAAGACTAGCTGTAAAGTTTTATTGCAGATTTTCCAGTTCCTGTAAATCAAAACTTTTCGATGTTAAAATTTCATATAGAATTGAACGAAACACCACATGAAATATGGTTTTGATACTTATATCTTTAGATATTTAGATGATATAACTATTTGTGAGAGACACAGTGACAGGAAAAATTGGGGAAGGATGTAAAACAAATTAGAGCTAGTAGGATATAGCAAATCTTTGAACTGAAATTGTACATTCAGAAAAGGCTTTGTAAATTTGTAGAGAAAATATATATAAACCTCTATTTCGACGCACCACATAATGCACATTTGTAACACTTATAACTTCAAATATATAGAAGGATAATCTTGTCAACACTCTAAATTCTATTAAGTGATTTAATGAAATTTATTCAAAAATTAATAGTGATTGATGTCGTTTTTCAATCTTGGGGATATGAAAATTTCTAATCGAAATTCACGGACCAGAAGTAATAACAAATAGAACGAATTTGGAATTCCTATTTTGAATTTTCCTTTCCTTGATTGTGATGTTCCGTTGGCTCATTGTTATTGAGATTACAACATTTCTCAATTGGTTCTTTCATGTACCCTTTGTTCGTGAAATGGTCGAAATTGAAGGGAGAGGGTTAAGATAAAAACAAAACCTTCATTTTATCACATGCATATGACTGAACTATGTCATAGTATCCAAATCTATGTTCTACTCTTTTAAGTAGGAGTACGAACCATCGTTTATGGACGGAGCGGTCCAAATAAATTAATATTACATGTAATATACAGATTTAACACATAATACCTATAAAAGTACATTGTAATTTGTGTACAGTAATAGAAACTTGCTGTCGATATGCAATTATAAGTAATTGTCCTTACATTCAGATAAGACGTGAACTGATTGTCCACCTAGTCATCTTACTAAATGATTTTTATCAACTACAAGGCGAGACAAACACATTGTTATGCGCATATTATTGATTAGCTTGGTAAATCGTTAAAATATATAAAGTTGTTTGTTCCAATGTAATTCATACAGGAATAACACGAGCATTTTCTAACCCTTTAATGACTTGTTATAGTAGAATGTTTAATATATCTTCATAGAAATAAAAAAAAAATAGGCAAACAAAGAATTGAGAACAGATATTATTGTTATTTTGATACTGTCAAAGTAGCAGACGAAACAGACATTCTATCAGAATATTTTTAGTCTGCCGTGGATGACGTCTCTGTTAATATCGCAGAAAAACAAAAACCAAATTTCATAAAGTTTAAAAATTGTATCTGAACACTGTATTAAGGAAGAAAAGTAAAACTAGTAGTGACCAGTAGCTTTGAATCTGTTATCAAGAACATACCCGAAACAGACCCACTTACATCATATAACGCGTTACAACGTTGTTTAACAGAAAAGGCACCAAGAAAATGCACAATAATAGTCGGCTGTGAGCTAAACTTTACATCAAACGATATAATTTTAATTCTCCCATTGTGGACCTTCATTTTTATACAGCAACATTCAAAGAGGGGTTGCATACATAGTAGATATATCAAGGTTGATACGATATACTATGGCTTTCATTTCTTCTTTGGCCGTTATTGAAAATCCGTAGATGGTATGGTTCTGTGTAGTGTTTTGGACTGTTGTTTGGTTTTTCATAATTTTTCATTTGTCCATAGTGTTGTCTGTTCTTTTTCGATTGTGGTTTTTCATTGTCCTCTTGGTAACCTCCTCAGGTTTTTACGAAATCAATAAATGTTAATAGTAATAGATTGCGGATCTTGACTGTAAAAAAATAAATCTACTAGCTGTTCTTATATATAATAATTTGTATCAAGTGTTGTATAGCCATAAGTCTTGAAACACTGTAATAAAATTGAGAATGGAAACGGGGAACGTGTCAAAGAGACAACAACCCGACCAAAGAGCAGAAAACAGCCCAAGAACACCAATCGGTCTTTCACACAGGGAGACAATTCCGCACCGGAGGCGGGCTTCAGCTGGCCCCTAAACTCCGAAACATATAAATAAACCGAAATTAAAAAAAACATACAAGGCTTACAATGGCCAGAGGTTCCTGACTTGGGACAGGCGCAAAAATGCAGCGGGGTTAAACATGTTCTGTGAGATCTCAACCCTCCCCTATACCTCTAGCCAATGAAAAATAAACAAACACACAGTAATACGTACAGTAATACTCAGTTTAAAAGAAGTCCGGGTCCAATGTTAGAATAAGTAACAGAAGAAACTAAGCAAAATGACAATGATAACAAACATTAACAAAGGACAACTAGCAGTTACTTACATGCCAGCTTCAGACCTCAACTAAACCGATTGAAAGATGATGTCTTCATCATATGAAAATCCCGTTAGGGGTTTAGTATCATACTATCATAAAATATACGAGAAGAACACAACCCGTATCATGCCAACAACTAGTTTTAGAATAAATGTGTTTATGTCCGATACAAAGACTCTATGAGTTAATCAATATTAATTAAAAAAAAAACGCCTTCTTTAATGACCTGACAACAGTATCGTAACTATATTCGTTCGGAATAAGTCTGTTCAAAGGTTTGTTAGCTATTGAGGTGAATTACGACATGTTTGTGCTTTGTATAGAGTACTACCATAAAAGATTGGATGTAAATAAAGGCAACAGTAGTATACCGGTGTTCAAAAGTCATAAATCGATAGAGAGAAAACAAATCCGGGTTACAAACTAAAACCGAGGGAAATACCTGAACGTATAAGATGTCTGCACGTTGATTTATATTTACGAATGGTGTCCTTGTACCGATGATAAAATTTAGTAAATGTTTTGACAAGTTTGTTGTTCCGAAAACCCTGGCATTAAAATCAAATACATTGTTACATACACTAGCGAATCTAACAAGTTCAGATTTATAAACACCATAAGATGGTGACAAGGGAACGTCACCATCTAAAAATGGATAGTTAAGAATAGGAAATGAAAATCATCTCTTTTATCGTATATTTTGGTATTAAACCTCCCCTGAAAGATAAAGATATCAAGATTCAGAAAGGGGCAGTGTCCATTGTTAGTATTAGCTTTATTTAAAGTCAGTTCAGCAGGATAAATCTCTTCAGTGTGCATACTGAAGTCGTCATTATTCAGAGCCAATATATCATCCAAAAATCTAAAAGTGTTATTAAATTTTTGTATCAAATGTTGTTTCGATGGGTCTTTGTTGATGTTAGTCATAAATTGTAACTCTAAATAATACAGAAACAGGTCCGCAATAAGCGATGCACAGTTAGTCCCCATAGGAATTCCGATAACATGACGATATACGGAATCTCCATAGCGAACAAATATGTTATCTAGTAAAAATCCAAGTGCAGTTATTCGTATCAAAGCAGGTCCAATTGGCATAGTTCTTTTGTTTGTTGTTACTAAAGAATTACCTAAAAGAGTTTGAACATCTATATTCGTATTATGACTTTTTAAATGCCCATTTAATTAGATGTGTGATTTTGTTTTACTTAATGAGATTATGAGGCAAAGTGGTACACATGTATATAGGGTAGAAAAATCAAAACTTTGAACAGATTCGAAATCACCAATATAAGCATGCAATGTATCAAGTACTTCCAACGAATTTTTGACACTCCAATAGTAAATTAATTCCACTATTTTCAAAGGCCTTATTTGAACACTTTGTTACCAGGTTTTTGTACCAAATGTACAAGTAAGTAGAGTAGACAGTTTAGTAGTGGAACAATGGTTTGAAAACGAAAAAAAAAATTGTTGTGAGGAGTTTTGTGCGGCTTCGGAAGCCAGTACATAGCTGGAACTTTCATGTTATTCGGTGCTGCTTGTAAAAGAGTAGCTAAATTTTATGTTTGTTACAGATGTCATTTTTCGAAAATGGATATTATTTGCAGCATTATCAGCCGGGACAAAAACAAATTTCTTGGTGAGTTCTTTTATCTCATGTTATCGGAATAGAGGTATTATGGTTTTTGTTAGGAGTAAAATGTTCTTTAAAATGTCTAAAACGATTATCAACTCTTCATTACTGAATAACAAAAGAATCTAAGGATAGTTTGTCAGTTTTTTCTCGTTTTATCCTTTTCGTGCAGTAAGTACGGAGTGAGTCGTGGATGATGTTTCGACACTCATTCCAATTTATAATTGATGGGGGGCGATATGTATGTCCTTTACTGAGTAAAGACTGCAACTCTCGGTTATGGACGATGTTAGAGTCTCCTGTTATAACATTGGAACTGGGGCCATAAATAAAATGTATTTTGAAATACTGCAATTTCATGACTTAGGTTTCTTGTCACTGATATTAACATCTTTACACACTGCGCTATAATTAAACACATATGTCCAATTAGATTTTTTGGGAACATAACAAATAAGAGGAATCTGTTGTTTCGATGGGTCTTTGCTGGTTTTAGTCATAAATTGTAACTCGTAACAATACAGAAACAGGTCCGCAATAAGCGGTGCAGAGTTAGTCCCCATAGGAGTTCCGATAACTTGACGATATACGGAATCTCCATAGCGAAAAAAAATTTTATCTAGTAAAAATGCAAGTGCAGTTGTCGTATCAAAGCAGGTCTATTGACATAGTTCTTTTGTTTGTTGTTACTAAAAAATATATTTAACAGAGACTGCAACATATCATCTGACTTTAACAATTAATCTCACATGCGGTGGATTGCGAACAAAATTCTATGCTTGGGGGATCAGCAGATGGCTTTTACAAGTCACATTTCTGTCCATGTCCAACATACATGTACCATCAATTTCCGGTGGCAGACTTAGTTAAACTGAATAATTTATGCGTTGATCATCCTATTTGATCTCGTTAAACATAGAATAACTAATAGTTACCAAAATATGGTAGAAACAAACAAGCTTATTAGAATGCATCAAGCCGACGAGGGCAACAGCAAGGTAAAATAATTAGCGTTTTTAACATGTCACCAAAAACACGGACCCTTTGTGATTTGATTTTTCTATATATGTACTTTTTGTTTGTTTGAATCTTTATAGCAAAAAATCTTTTAATATTCGAACTTATTTGCAGTTATTTAACGTGTTCTTGCTCTAATCCATACGATATTACAACAACAGTAGTTGTATGCCACAGGCATTGGTCTAAACAAAAATATACCTATATACCTTAATGTTATATTAGTCAAAGGCCTGTGTTTTATGAAGTCCCTTTCTTTTTTTTCCACGTTCAAAAGGTGGTCCGAGTTGTCTATAAAACTTATAAAATGTCTTTAAATGGTCTGACTAGTGTTTTAACTGTTGCAAGTTGTCTTTACAAGTTGTCCGAGTTGTCTTTAAATCGGTATGAGTTGTCTTTGTCCGAGTTGACAACATTCCGACCAAATCCCACATACACGTATCTCTTTTAAGCAGGTCGGCCTACCCTTGATGAACCTACCTACTGTAGAAATTGTTAATGTTATTTTACCCTTAACATGCACAAAAATATTTGTAATTAGACGTTATGCAAGCAACAATAAACCAATCAACCAAAAAAAAAATACAACCAACTGCAGTGCTAGACATTCATTTCAGTCGCATTAACATGTCAGATTACATGTTTTGAATTTTGAGTATTCATCAAAGTATTGCTCGTAATAAATAATGAAATAACGGAAACACACAAGGAAACTTACTCTTGGTTTGTACTGTACACGACTCTTTTTGAACGGCTTCACCTGTACATGTACCCGAGCAGATGCGTGTTCTATGACGCTCACCAATACCACATGTAGCATTACAATCACCCCACGCTGTCCAGATAGACCAATCTGTGATTTTAGAAACATAAAAAAGTGAAAATAAATTTAAAAAAAAACAGATATATATACAAACGGTCATATTTAAGTAAATAATATAAAACGCAAAAATAATAACGGCAGAACGCAACCAACAACTTTCATTTAAATACAGGCTCACTGAAAGATGGCAGATTTACACATGTATGTGAGTCTTAAACCCTTAAACCTCAACCAAATCTGGGAGAGATGTGTAACAGCACAACGTTAGAACAAGTGATTGAAATAACACTGTGAAAACCAATTGAAATGGTTCGAATTCGATCTTCATTTATTCACAACAGCAACAAACAACTGGCAAAAGACAAAGTAACGATCTAGGAGAACTCCGATCTACTGGATGCTAGTTCTATGTCCAATTACTATTTATGACATCTCTAATGTTGTCATAACTTTGTCCAGTATCTTTTGCTATTCTTGCAAATGAAATATATAAATATTATGCCAAGACAAGGTTTTCGAAGAATGTTGCTTTTTGTACAGGTAAATCACTGTAGAATGCCACATGCGAGTGTTGGCTATGTTTGACACGGGGTGGCGGTTTCTGTAACTGAGACAAAGCGATCAAGGTAAGTAAAAGTATCTAAATTTCTTTTTTGAGAATTGTTTGCACCAAATAATTTCTTTTAATCAGAACCAGACGTTTCCGGTGCTCAGTTTTCTCAAACACCTCTACCTAGTTTTGCAGATTTTGATACTTCTTTTGCAAGTTTCAAGATAAAAATACTACTTATGACGATTTATTCACGTATGATATATATATAAATGAGTTCCTATCATAGAATGTAACCAAATACCAGCTTCTTAGTCAAAATTTGTTGGTTTTAAAGTTATTTTTTCATTGAAATGTAATGTGTCGTGCGGGGTGTCAGATTTTGCATCTCAAGGGGTTGAGGCATTGATTAACATAGGATAGATTTGCCTATACTTCGGTCTTGATCTGATAGTTTGTAATTCAAACACACCTACTCTGTTATGATGACGTATCACAAACTTAAAGTATTTGATTTGGTCCATACTTTAGTTTTTTGAGTAATGTGCTTTTAATGTTAGAAATAGAAAAAAAGCCTCTAAGTATTTTGTTTTATACTGGAGCATGATTTGTTTTCCTTTTCAGTTACTATCATGGTCATGAAGAAGTCAAGGCTATGGCTTAATGTACCAAAACATTAAGCAAACAGAATGATGAGCAGACCTCCGTATAAGATTTGCCCGAAGCCGAATCTCCAACACCTAAATTTAATCAAATTTCTTCACCAGTTTTCTCTACAAAGCACACGTGCACGCCGCAAAATGTCCTTACTCCTAAACGAATTCGATTACTCACTGAGCAGAAATACTCACCGGCATCTATATTTACAAATAAAAATAACGCTAATAGAAGATCTGAAGAAGATGAAACATCAATCTTAAACGATTTCAAAACAGCAATTAAAAAATCTAGAAGAACAAAATCTAGCGATTGATTTTCTTTCATGTACTAGTATCCAAATTAATTGTAAAAGAAAACAAATTTCCATTAGAAAATATTTGCTTTCTTCTTTTCCTTGTTGGCTTGCATAGCTCAATACTATAATATATGTATGAATAATTAAAACTAGATAGTATCAAAATATGCAGTTGTATTTCACTGCATAGAAACAGACGTATGCCAACATGATCTATCTAGTTTATACTTTTTTAAGGAAAGAATGTAAATAGAGATGCCAGTGAGTATTTCTATGGAGTGAGTAAGCAAATGTTTCGGAGTAAGTCCTTTTTTTGGCATGCACGTGTGCTTTGTAGAGAAAACTGGTGAAGAAATTTGATGAAGTTTAGGTGTTGGTGGCTTCGGTTTCGGGCAAATCTTATACGGAGGTCTGCTCTGCATGTTTTTTTTAACCATGTTATGCATTAAGCCATAGCCGTGGCTTCTTTAAATTCCTGACCATAATAGTAGCTGAAAAGGAAACAAACCATGTTCAGGTATAAAACAAAATACTTTGAGACTCTTTCTCTATTTCTAACATTAAAAATGCACATTACTCAAAAAACAAAAATATGGGTCAAATGAAATACCTTTATTTTGAGATGAGTTATCAAAACTGAGTGGGTATGTTTGCATTACAGACTATCAGATAAAGACCGAATTCTAGGCAAATCTATCCTTGTTTTAATAAATTAAGCAGGAAGTACTGTAACGGTAAATCAATGTTTGATTATGTGTTATTTGATGCTTGCCATTCGGACAGTCCGGTATGGTAATGTATGACCCACCGACTAAAAGTTTATTAGATTTGATGTTTTATTTGATGTATTTATACTTGTAATATAGACGAGTGACATTTTTCAAAAAGACGCTTAGTTAACGACTTTAATGCACCCACCTAACATACGGCTATATTATACATCATTCGAAAACTTATTATCTGTACTTTCTGTTTTGCCCGGTCGTCAATAATTCGTACGGTGCATTTTTTGTTAATTCAAGGTCAAAGGTCAAGAATGAACATTCATAAATTTCGTAATAATTAAACAAAATGATCTTTGCTGGTTCTTTATGATATATTTTTTTCTAAAAATCATATGAACATAATAGAACAGAATACCAGAATTCTAAATCAGGTGCACATTAAAATGTTAATAGCGCAATAGTTACAGAAAATTGCATTTTTGAAAAAAATCTTTCAAAAATGATAACATTGCGCTAAAAGCAAAATATTTCTTTATGTATCAATATTTTATGTCAAAAATAAAATAGATCTATAGTTTATAGGTGAATGAAATTTTTACTGCAATTAATATAATACTTGTAAGGAATCAGCCTTCTAAAGCAACTTTTGCATTTGCCCTTAAAACCACCATCTGCATACTAGGACCATTTTGCATTGCATTGTTTAAATAACACATCGATTGTTGTCAATATCTATGGCATGGTATTGGTTGCAAAAATTTGATATTTTTCATTTAAATGCAATATTTCTTATTTAATTGGTATATTTCTTCATTTAAATGCAATAGTTTTTTATTTGAATGGTATATTTTTTCATTTAAATGCAATATTTTTTATTCAGATGGTATAATTTTTCATTCAAATGGTATAATTTTCGTTCAAATGCAATATTTTTTATTCAGATGGTATAATTTTTCATTCAAATGGTATAATTTTTTCATTCAGATGGTATAATTTTTCATTCAAATGGTATAATTTTTCATTCAAATGGTATAATTTTGCATTCAATTGGTATGATTTTCGTTCAAATGCAATATTTCTTATTCAGATGGTATAATTTTTCATTCAAATGGTATAATTTTTCATTCAAATGGTATAATTTTCGTTCAAATGCAATATTTTTTATTCAGATGGTATAATTTTTCATTCAAATGGTATAATTTTTCATTTAGATGGTATAATTTTTCATTCAAATGGTATAATTTTCGTTCAAATGCAATATTTCTTATTCAATTGGTATAAAATGTCATTTGAATGCAATATTTTTTATTCAATTGGTATAGTAGTTTTTTTATTTATATGCAATAATTGCATTATGGGAAATTCTTTGACGTCATAAGGTCAAATTTGCAACAACGTTTGTGATTGGTCGGTAATTGTTCGCATTTCTCCCCTCTTTCTTTCTAAACTTGAGTGACCAAGAATTAAAAAACGCGTCAGAATATCGCCCCTCTAACTAAATTTGACGTTCGTGCGAGTTCGTGCACTGGCTGTTAATGCCATTAATGGCCAGGACGAGCAAAAAATGCGAGTGACAAGTAATAATAATTAATTTGACACACAACTTGTTCATGGATAGAAACAGATGCCTGCGTGCATGGCAAAAACACCTCCAATGAAAACCTTTTCTGAAGAAACTCTCCTACAGTCTACACATTGAAATAAAAAAGAATACATAGCTAGCCCCCCTCCCCCTTCCAAGTCCAGATACATGTAATCATGACGTTCTTTAGTGCTATATCATTTTTTACTTTTCTTGATCCTCAGAGACGTTGCAGGAAGGCACACATGAAAAAAGAACAAAAAGCATCCAGGACGTTACAATTATTTGGACTAAGCCCCCTCTTTTTTACTACATGTAGAAAAAAAATCACCTAATTACGACAGCAGAACCAGAAACCCACAAGTAGAGACATAAGCTGTTATACTCCGGAACTAATTCTTTAATAAAGACAATTCAGGATAAATTGGAACCAGTTACTAACCCATGTTACAACAATAGTCCTATGACATAGGACTTCACTATATGAGGCGTGAACTTCATATTTAATACTATCTATAATATGTGCTCTCATGTCTTATGCTGCAAATCATTTTACATTTAGGATTCGTTGCTGAGCTTTTTTTACTGTTCTCGTCTCCGAATCCCTTAAATAGATTTTTTTCAAGCCCCACAGTAGTTCAATAATTACTATATGTCTTTGCATAAATAAGTATGCAGGGCATATTTCAAAACATATTTTATCTTCAGGACTTTTAAATGATTTACTTTTCAATACTGCATTGGGAAGGGGGGTATACAAGTTTATTTTGTGACACATTATATAATAAAATTAGGTATCCAACAAATTATATGATTGTACGTTTAGCTATTATCTAGACCCGTACAAAATATATATAATTAGACACATTTAACAGGGGCGGATCCAAAACCTCGGTGTCTAGGGGGGGGGGGGGGGGGGAGTGGGTTCAAATTTAGATATTTGTATAGAGATGTATATATGCGAGTATTGGCAGTAATGGTTATGGTGTGTGTGTGAGGGTAGGGGTTTCAGATCAAAGATCGTTTCTATAATTCTATATCTTTTAGTTTTTACCATTTCACTCTATTCTCTATCCTTTGATCTCTATTATATTTGTCCTAAACATGCGTGACATATTTGCCACTGGACATAAGGCAACCAAAAGTCAATCAACGTATTCTCTATATTTCATCATTTCTTTATTATGTTATCTATAGGTTTGGTCCCGCCCCTTATCT